CAATTCTGGATCCACATGTCCTTCCATGGTGACCCAGGAGATTATGACTGTCCTATCTAGAGCATAGGGACATGGGTGGCACTGTGGGTTAAACCACATAGCCTAGGGCTTGCCTATCAGGTCGGCGGTTCGAATCCCCGCAACGGAGTGAGCTCCCATTGCTCGGTCCCTGCTCCTGCCAACCTAGCAGTTCGAAAGCACGTCAAAGTGCAAGTAGATAAATAGGTACCGCTCTGGTGGGAAGGTAAACGGCATTTCCATGCGCTGCTGTGGTTCGCCAGAAGCGGCTTAGTCATGCTGGCCACATGACCCAGAAGCTGTACGCCGGCTCCCTCGGCCAATAAAGTGAGATGAGCGCCGCAACCCCAGAGTCGTCCGCGACTGGACCTAATGGTCAGGGGTCCCTTTACCTTTACCTTTATCTAGAGAATAAGTATACATGCTACGCTAGCAAGATAATTGTGTTTGTGAAATTCGCCCCCATGAGAGAGTGATGGCCACCAGTCAGTCACAGGTGAGCCGAGTGTTCTTGGGCTTCCTGTTCTGCTTCTGGGCTTCCTGTGGGCATCTGGTTCGTCAGTGTGGCAACAGGATGCTGGACTAATTGGGCTTTGGCCTAATCCAGGAGGGCCCTTTGGTTATCTGAGCTTCTTGGGCTTGCCAATCAGAAGATCAGCGGTTCGAATCCCCGCAACGGGGTGAGCTCCCGTTGTTCGGTCCCAGCTCCCACCCACGTAGCAGTTTGAAAGTACGTCAGGTGCAAGTAGATAAATAGGTACCGCTCTGGCGGGAAGGTAAACGGCGTTTCTGTGCGCTGCTCTGGTTCACCAGAAGCGGCTTAGTCATGCTGGCCACATGACCCGGAAAAACTGTCTGCAGACAAACACCGGCTCCCTTGGCCAGTAAAGCAAGCTGAGCACCGCAACTCCAGAGTCGTCCACGACTGGACCTAACGGTCAGGAGTACCTTTACCTTTATCTTTAGGCTGATTTTCCTCTGGGTCAGCAAGGGAAAATGTCTGGAAGACTCCTCTAGCTGTGTGCTAGAAGTACTCTCTTGACATTAGAGCTGGGCAATATCTGGTTTTCAGCATTGTGATATATTACCAGCTAAACATGGTTATATACTGATATATCACGATATCTGAATTAAGGATGGAGCTATGTAGAGGCATTGGCTGGCTGCATGGTTTTCCCCACATTGCAATTTTTGCACACGCACACAAAATAGTGATTCGCAATATATTGCCAGGTCAAAATTATGAAACTGATATCACGATAGAGACTTGAAAACGGTTTCGGATTATATATTGATATATTGCCCAACCCTACTTGGCATTAGCTTCGATAGCGTAATATTGGGTGGATTGTTATTTTTTAAGCCGCTCTCCTTTGTCCTCTCCCATTTGATAGGTTTCTTGATAACATTCTCTTGAAGTGGCTAAAATGGAGAATAGGATGGGGGTGCAATCTTAAGCCCTGAGAAAAGTAAATTCCATTGACATTGATGGGGTCTGCATACAAGTACATGTGTTTAGGATTATAGGGCCGGCAGTTTTGTTTTTGTTTTGTAGATCTGGCATGCTTTGAGATGCTTAACATTCATGTTAAGGAGTCCAGAAATCCTGGTGTGTTAGTTATCCGGAATAAGTGGGGGGCCTGGGAGAAGGGCATGCGTGTTGTGGGCTCGAGTTCATTCCAAACATATTTTGCTTTTATGGGCTATGGCCCATGATGTATTCTCAGCTGTGGCTTTGATTTGCAGTGACTCAACTGGGGCAGTGTTTGGACAGCACAAAAATCCTGCTGATGAGACGTGTAAACTCCCACCCAGAGCTCTAGCTGGTCTTGCCATCTCATCACATACCAAGAGTAGGAGGATACTGACCCCTTTAAATATGTGATGGAGAGCAGGTTTATAGGGCCAGCAGTGAAGGGCTCTAGAAAACTCTTCAGGGCAATTGCATAATGTTAAATTTTTTTGGCTCTTAAAAAAGAAATACATGCCTAGAATTAACTATTTGCTTCTGCTTCACGGATAGATGTGAGAATATTTTGTATTAGATGTTGGAATGAAGATTACTAAACCGAGATTTCAATTCCATCTTGCTAAACAGATTTCAAAACCAAAACAAAACTTAGAGGGGAAATCCAGCATTAAGTTAGAAAACAACTTAATTCTGTGCTGACACTGTAGGGTGACCTCACCACACAGCCTAAGAGTGCTGCATTTGCTTGATATTAGGAATGACATGATATTTGGCTCCATCTTAGAAAACATGGAAGTCATGGGAGATTAAAGTTTAATACGCTATGCTTTCTCAAAGAGAGCAAGCTGTTCAAATAGGTGTGTTAAGTGGTAATTAAACAAAGAAATTAGCTGTGATCCTTTTGTTAAAAACATGATGGTGAGGTATCAGTACTCTTCTTGATAAAAATGCCATGGGTGCAAACATAAAATGACTACCAATGGCAGCAACCCCCCCCCAAAAAAACCCTACTCCATACCAGTGAGTGCAATCACAAAAAGTACTACAGTGGTACCTCGCAAGACGAATGCCTCACAAGACAAAAAACTCGCAAGACGAAAGAGTTTTTGGTTTTTTGAGTTGCTTCGCAAGACGATTTTCCCTATGGGCTTGCTTCGCAAGACGAAAACGTCTTGCAAGTTTGTTTCCTTTTTCTTAACACCGTTAATACAGTTGCGACTTGACTTCGAGGAGCAACTCATAGCACGCGGTGTGGTAGCCTTTTTTGAGGTTTTTGAAGACTTTGGTGATTTTTGAAGCTTTTCCAAAACTTTCCCAAAACCGTGCTTCGCAAGACGAAAAAAATTGCAAGACGAAAAAAACTCGCGGAACAAATTAATTTCGTCTTGCAAGGCACCACTGTAGTAAATATCTAGTTCAGACAAGGAATTATCATGCATCAAGTGAAAGCAAATTAAACACATTCATACATACAACAGATTTTTCCCCAGACACATGATGGTGATGATGATGATGATTTATTTGTACCCCACCCATCTGACTGGGTTGCCCCAGCATAATAAAGCATTAAATCTTAAAAAGCATAAGATTCCTGTTTTTCTTTTTAAACTCTCCTCTATGCTCAACAGTTGAGGACCTCTTTTCATCAGCCCTTTGGCAAATTACAGACTTGTATAGAAGGAGAAAGGAAAAGAGTCAGGCACAAGAGGAACATTTGATCTAGATTATAAACAGAATGGGGACGCGGGTGGCGCTGTGGGTAAAACCTCAGCGCCTAGGACTTGCCGATCGCATGGTCAGCCGTTTGAATCCCCGCAGCGGGGTGCGCTCCCGTCGTTCGGTCCCAGCGCCTGCCAACCTAGCAGTTCGAAAGCACCCCCGGGTGCAAGTAGATAAATAGGGACCGCTTACCAGCAGGAAGGTAAACGGCGTTCTGTGTGCTGCGCTGGCTCGCCAGATGCAGCTTGTCACGCTGGCCACGTGACCCGGAAGTGTCTGCAGACAGCGCTGGCTCCCGGCCTATAGAGTGAGATGAGCGCACAACCCTAGAGTCTGGCAAGACTGGCCTGAACGGGCAGGGGTACCTTTACCTTTACCATTATAAACAGAATACAGAGGGACGTGGGTGGCGCTGTAGGTTAAACCACAGAGCCTAGGGCTTGCCAATCGGCAGGTTGGCGGTTTGAATCCCTGCGACCGGGTGAGCTCCGATTGCTCGGTCCTTGCTCCTGCCAACCTAGCAGTTCGAAAGCACGTCAAAGTGCAAGTAGATAAATAGGAACTACTCCAGCGGGAAGGCAAATGGCGTTTCCGTGCGCTGCTCTGGTTTGCCAGAAGCGGCTTAGTCATGCTGGCCACATGACCCGGAAGCTGTACGCCGGCTCCCTTGGCCAATAAAGCGAGATGAGCGCCGCAACCCCCGAGTTGGCCACAGCTGGACCTAATGGTCAGGGGTCCCTTTACCTTTATAAACAGAGTTAGAATTGACTCCTCCTTGATATACCTTTGCTGACTCCTGTCTTGCACATGCATCTTATACTTGCACTTACAGTGGTGCCTCGCAAGACGAAATTAATTCGTTCCGCAAGTCTCTTCGTCTTGCGAGTTTTTCGTCTTGCGATGCACGGTTTCCCATAGGAATGCATTGAAAATCAATTAATGCGTTCCTAGGGAAACCGCCTTCAGACCAGGTCCGGGGACAGTCTGTCCCCCGACCTCTTCTGAAGGCTGGGGGGGGGGATAAGGGCTTTTCTTCCCACCCCCAGCATTTTAAAAAACCCCGGGACAGCGGAGGACTTCTCCGCTGTCCGGGGCAATCTTAAAATGCTGCTGCACTTCCCCGCTGTCCCGGAGATTTCCCTATGGGCTTTCGTCTTGCGAAGCAAGCCCATAGGGAAATTTGTTTTGCGAAGCGCCTCCAAAACGGAAAACCCTTTCGTCTAGCGGGTTTTCCGTCTTGCGAGGCGTTCGTCTTGCGGGGTACCACTATATAAACAATTACAAAGAAATTAAGTTATGAAATATGGACCACGGAGAAGTCAGCTACCCAAATGTGATACGAAGAATGAGGACACCAGGAGTGTGCCTTCTCTCTGGAAAAGTATATGAATTGACCTAGATGGCTGATAGAGGCAATGTGAGCCTTTTAAAAACACACCATGGATTGTGCTTTCAAGCAAGAAGATGAGTTCTGAACTAAAATGCATTAAACTCTTTGCAAGCAGTTAAAAGCAGTGCTTTTTTCTGGGGGTACGCAGGGGTACGCATACCCCTAAACATTTTGTGAATCTTTGTATTTTTGCCCATTTACCGTATTTATTTTTCCTGATTTGAACTTTAAAATGGTGATTTTCTTGAGTCAAAATGAGAGTACCCCTAAACATTTTTTTTGAAGGAAAAAAAGCACTGGTTAAAAGTAAGTTTCCAGTTGCATTTATTATTTGGCTCATGCTTCATATTTAAACCTTAATTGCCTTTGAATGAAACTGGTGTCTTCTTTCTCCCCTTTCAGAAAAGACGGCGGCGAATCGATCGGAGTATGATTGGTGAGCCAACAAACTTTGTTCACACAGCTCATGTAGGTTCAGGAGATCTCTTTAGTGGAATGAATTCGGTAAGTTTTTGCCAGGAATCCTGCAACATTTTATTTTATTTTTCAAGCTTTTTTCTTTTCTTTGTATTTTATACATTTATTTACATTTTTTTGACAAAGTAATAATCATAAATAAATAAAGAATAAAAATGTGCACCCCACCACTGAGACCATTCCATTGTAACTATACAACCTCCCAAAATTTCAACACCTCTTGCAATGGTTTGACCCCTTTCCTTTTTAACAGTACAAATTTTACAAACACCCTCCATATCTCCTCAAAATAATTTATCCCGCATTTTCCCCATCTTACCTCAATGGTGCATGTTAATTTATCATTAATAGCTATATCCCACACCTCTTTATACCATTCTTCCATTTTATATTCCGCTTGCCCCTTCCACTTCCTAGATATAATAATGTGTGCAGCTGTCAATAAATTTGTGAGCAAATCCTTCATAGCCTGTGAACCTTGCACACCATCCCTGCAGCATTTTAGACTGTATCCTTGAATATGTATATACAGTGGTACCTCAGGTTAAGTACTTAATTCGTTCCGGAGGTCTGTACTTAACCTGAAACTGTTCTTAACCTGAAGCACCACTTTAGCTAATGGGGCCTCCTGCTGCCACCGGGCTGCTGGAGCACAATTTCTGTTCTCATCCTGAACCAAAGTTCTTAACCTGAGATAATATTTCTGGGTTAGCGGAGTCTGTAACCTGAAGCGTATGTAACCTGAGGTACCACTGTATTCTAAAACAAATCTAAAACATTAAACAATTTAGATTTGTAGTCCACCCTACACTAAAGATTAGAGAGGTGACGTAAAATATTGCTTCAATTTTTTTTTTACAAGATGACACAGATGCTCAATTACTTATATTTTAATGCCAAAAAGAGGTTGGATGCCTTTTGGCCACGCCATTTTGCAGCTCTTACGAGGCAGTATATAATCAGGAGGGCAGGAGGGAATGCATCAGTACTGGGGAAAGAAGTAGAAAGGAAAACTCAAAGGTGCAAAGGAATTGGTTAACTTATTCAAGCATCAACATTTCTAATTAGTTAAAGAAGTCTTCTTCAGGGGCAGCTAGAAAACAAATACAGTGGTACCTCAGTTTTTGAACGTAATCCGTTCCGGAAGACCGTTTGACTTCCAAAACATTCATAAACCGAAGCATTTATTTCTGGATGCATTTACTTACGGAAAACTCAATATGGAAGCCACATGGCACGTTCAACTTCCAAAAAGCATTAGAAAACCGAAGCAGTTACTTCTGGGTTTTCGGCGTTCAAAAACCGAAACATTCAACTTCTGAGACGTTCGAAAACCAAAGTACTACTATATATATTTATAGTGAAATCGTGCTTGTGTTTGAGTAAGTGTATATATAGGACTGTAGCCTTGGTGTATCCTATTAAGAAAATTATGGATTCATTTATACCTTTAACACACCAGCATATCAAATATAAGAGTATTGTAGTTGATTCACTCGAATGAATAATATCAGAAAGCCTGTAACACGGACAACTTAATGGCATATTATAGATTGTTTCAAAGTAAGGGGGGTAAACAGTGTTAGAAGCATAATATCACTTCTCTTTTCAGAACATTTGTAGTGTTGTCTAGTAGACAGAAAATGTTGTACTTTCTCCCCAAGAAAATGTTAGTCTGTAATTAAAAAATGCATGTTATAACACAGATAGCTTCAGCTTCCTTCTTGCAACCCAAAATGCTCTTTCCTATATCCCTTTTATTGTACAAGAAACTCTTGTTATCATTTTTTAATAGGCTCAAATCTGCCATGTATGCTAACTAGTTTCTTCAAAGGAAAGGCTGAAACTGTTTCTCAAAAGGCCAAAATGTGTGTTTGCCTGCAGCTAGCTATCTAACTGTACAAGAAAAAACCTAGGAGCTGATAAACGAAGGAAAATAACACACACCACTGATAAAATTAACAAATCAGCTGTTCTAGAATTCTTTGATTGGCATGACCTTTGAAATATCCTGGAGAAAACTTGGATAGCCCTAGGTAGAAATCTCTAAAGTGACACATTCCTATGTTAACATAGTTCACTAGAAGCAAGAATCAAAAGAACTCACATCTTCGCTGAGGAGGGCAGAGAGGTGGTGTTTACAAACCTAGAATTGAGGTGAATAATTGAGGTTTAGGCTGCACATATTGGAGGGCAGGTTTGGCTGTTAACTTGCTGCACAAGCACAGAGGGAACAAACTCCCTGTGCTTTTTGTTCCGCCAGCACAGCACTATATTTAAAATGCATTAAAGGTGTTTACAAGGTTGGAGAAATCCCTGTCCATTCCTTATATGGATTTGGAGTTTCTGTGAAGGCATGGGGAATGAGCTGCATTGAAGTTACAGATCCAAATGCCTTTAAATCAGAGTTCTCTTTATCATCTCCTCATTTCATGCTGGTTGGGGATATGAGCTTCCAGAATACATATTTCAAAATTGCAAAAATAAAGAGAAGTTTAAATTTCACCTTATAAAAAAGGGGCATACTATTATCTGATTTTAAAATCTGGATAACATTCTTGCATTTTTAAAATAAATTATGCATGTACAATATTATTATGATTTCATGCTCAGCTGTTTTGCATATTTATTGCAAAGTATGTTTGTTCTCCCTAAAGTCTGTTTTGATTCATGGCTTACAAATCACAGTAATAAATGCTATTTTCTTATATTTTTATGGATAAGCATTTCAAAACATTTTTGTCTCTGTCTATTTCGTCCTAGAAGAATTTATTTCATCTAACGGAATCGATATGTTAACATTTCACTTAAATAAATCTCCTGTTAAGAGAGTAAGAGATGAATCAGTTGGAAGAAAACATGGGTCTTTTTTGCATAGCTATGTAGAAATCTATTTATAAGACATCTGTGGCAATGCATACATCCTGTGTAAGAAATTTTGGACTCTTATATGATATACACGATTCTATTTGTCTCTCCTGAAAAGAAAAACATTTTCTGTTTCTAAGCCATGTTTATAACTCAAGATCACACATGTTTATCAGCTACAACATCAAACAATGTACAAAATGCGATGTACAAAACATTAATCCCATGCTGCAGCTACGAGGGACCAAAGGTCCCTTCATATGTTACTTCCACAAAGTGGTGATCATGTGATCACACAGCTCCCCCTGGCCCTGATGTCCAGGCATTAGGCATGAGAACCCCTGTGACGGGGTGCGCTCCGGTCGCTCTGTCCCAGCTCCTGCCAACCTAGCAGTTTGAAAGCATGCCAGTGCAAGTAGAAAAACAGGTACCACTGCGGTGGGAAGGTAAATGGTATTTCCATGCACTCTGGTTTCCGTCACAGTGTCCCGTTGCGCCAGAAGCAGTTTAGTCCTGTTGGTCACTTGACCCAGAAAACTGTCTGTGGACAAACAGCGGCTCCCTCAGCCTGAAAGTGAGATGAGCTCTCCAACCCCATAGTCGCCTTTGACTGGACTTGACTGTCCAGGGCTCCTTTAGGGACAGTATTGGTTTAGTAAAGAGATGTTATTCTCCTTATGGAAACTAAACAACTAGGAAAAGTGCTATCCGTGTCAAATGTGTTAAAATGCCAGTAAACCTACCGCCTAGGAATGAACTTGTGCTAAATCGGGTCCTTCCTTAAAGAGGGCACGTATTGCGGTGAGACTTGAACAACCGACACCCTGTGTTGTGGGTGGGTACATTTGGTCAGCCACAACACCCGATTGGTAGGTCCCTCGAACCTGGGTGCAATCTGGCCAATGGGATGCAGTCTAAATGGTTCGAGGGACCTATTTATGCCCATGCACATGACCCAGAGCTTCCTCTTTCGGCTCGTGCATCGGAACACCCGCCCACCTCTCCCTACTTTTAGGGCTTGTTGCGCTTGACCTTGCTATGCCATCGTGTGTCGTCTGTCATTGGGACAGGGACACAGCAGGAATTTCCCCCACTTGGCTGATTGGCTGTTGCCATTTGGGTTTCGCCTGCCGCGTAGCAAATCGTCACAACTTGTAAGGTGGCCGATAGGCTCTGGTTCAGGTGATAGGGATGGGAGAACGCTCTTGCCATCCCTATGTGAAGGGTATTCCGTTAAAGGAATCCAGGGACTCACTGGTTTGGTCAACCCCTGAGAGGGGGCTGTGCCTGAGTCTAGGGGGACATTTGGTTGGCAGAGTTAGCCCATTCCCGGCTTTCCGCTTATCCAGGTGTTCACCCTTGGCTGACCTATGCTGGAACCCTGGGTCAGCGCTATCTGCAAGGCAGGGAGCTAGTCGAACCAGAGCCTATGCAACCAGTCACTTTATGTAATCAATAAAGTTGTGGCCTAATTTCTGCCAAAAACCAAAACCAAAATTTGAGTCAAGTGTGAATTTATTTTAGGGGGGAGGTTTCTGGGTCTGAACTTGAGAGTCCACCAGTTCATGGCTGATCGTACCCCTTTCTTTCTTACCCTTTCCCTGTATGTCTAGGTGAGTTCAATTCAGAACCAAATGCAGTCCAAAGGAGGCTATGGAGGAGGAATGTCTGCAAATGTTCAAATGCAGCTTGTAGATACAAAGGCGGGATAACCGTGGGACATACTTTGAGTGAGTATTACAGAATTTGCAAGTGCTGTTGCCGACTTTTCTCCGCTAGTAACAGAAAAGAAGCTGCTGTGTTCCTTTTAAGCGATTCTCTGTAAATACCGTATTTTTCGCTCTATATTTTTCCTCGTACCTACGGAACCGCCTCTCCTGGTATGCCCCACAGAGAAACGTACGGTCTTCAAATAAAAACATCTTGAAGGTCCCAGGCCACAGAGAAGTTAGGCTGGCCTCAACCAGAGCCAGGGCTTTTTCGGCTGTGGCTCCGATCTGATGGAACACTCTGTCACAAGAGACCAGGGCCCTGCGGGACTTGACATCTTTCCGCAGGGCCTGCAAGACAGAGCTCTTCCACCAGGCCTTTGGCCAGGGCACAGCCTGACTCCCTCCCTCGGCAATCTTCGCGGAGCTCTGGCCCAATGGTTGCCAGTGGCTTGAATTAATTAATTTTATAATGAATGATTTTAGAGTGTTGTTTATGCTGTACTTTTGTACTGTTTTATTGTTGTTAGCCTCCCTGAGCCCGGCTCCGGCTGGGGAGGGCGGGATATAAATAAAATTTATTATTATTATTATTATAAGATGCACCAGACCAGAAGACGCGCCTAGTTTTTGGAGGAGGAAAACAAGAAAACAAATATTCTGAATCTCAGAAGCCAGAACAGTAAGAGGGATCGCTGCGCAGTGAAAGCAGCAATCCCTCTTGCTGTTCTGGCTTCTGGGATAGCTGCGCAGCCTGCATTCGCTCCATAAGACGCACACACATTTCCCCTTACTTTTTAGGAGGGGAAAAGTGAGTCTTATAGAGCAAAAACTACAGTAGCTTGTTCATTATATTTGCCGCTAGCCCAGGAGCCAGATGCAAGAAATATGTGAGTGCAAATGTGTGTTAGGTATTATGCAATGAGGGATAAGATCAACTACTTCCAGTACCAATTATAAGAAAGAGATTTTGTTTGACTGATTTCGCACACTCGTCCGTCAGGAATTAGCTTTAGGCCTTTGGCGCTCATCTTTGTAGGAAATGTTGGCCCCTGACGTTCTCAGTGGTACCAAAATGAGAACAGTTAAATTGCAGAGAAGGGGGAACATCACAGTTAAAGCATGATGGCATAAATAGAGCATGCAAGCATTTTTTTAAATTTCTGATAGCAGTAGGTGGTTCCATCAAACAATCTCTTAAGTTCCTTAGTTCCCTGCTCCCACACATGGTTTCCTACTGCTGCTAGAGGTTAGGAAACACATTGTAATGATGTCTCAACGTGAGATGAAATTTGCGCTATGTGTCACAGTTTGAGAGAACACAGCCTGTGGCTGCCATGTTCAGTAGTAGCTGCTTGCAAGCTACATTTCTTTCTTTTCCCACTTTTATTCATTCTTTTATTTCTATTTTATACATTTATTTACATTTTATACACTCTTTTTTTTACAAAGAAGTAATAATAAATAAATAAGAATAAAAATGTGCACCCCACCACCGAGACCATTCCATCATAACTATCCAACCTCCCAAAATTTCAGCAGCTCTTGCGATGGTTTGACCCCTTTCCGTTTTAACAGTACAAATTCTACAAACACCCTCCATATCTCCTCAAAATCATTTCCCCTGCATATTCCCCGTCTTACCTTAATAGCACAGGTTGATTTAGCATTAATAGCTATATCCTACACCTCTTTATACCATTCTTCCATTTTATATTCTGCTTGCCCCTTCCACTTCCTGGCTATCATCATTCGTGCGGCTGTCAATAAGTTTGTGAGCAAGTCCTTCATAGCCTGTGAATTTTCCACCCCATCGTAGATTGATAATAATGCTGCCTCTGGAACTTTGGTCAACTTTAACCCAGTGATTTCTGTTATCTCCTTATATATATTTTTTACATATTTACCACGTGTGAACATAATTCCGCAAGCTACATTTCTGCCCTCGTTCTGAGAATGTCTTGTTTGTCTTCTTACTCATTCATTGCTCTGTTTTTTTTCACAGATCCTTGTGAATATCTGTACCTTCTTTCCTGTGTTCCTCTATGCCTTGGTGACTGCTTCCTGTGCTCATGAGAGAAGTTGATGGTTCATCACCCACCCCTTGTGATTACGCCGTTGAAACATTCCTTTTCTGCTGTGTGGGTGACATTTATCAGACTGGTCTTGTCATGCTTTTCAAGTGGCAAGCTTACATCTCACTGCTACCAAAACATCTGTGGACATGTATTGGTTGGTTGAGTTGTTCTTTGAGGGACATTTTTAGTCTATTCTCGGCATTTTAAAACAACATTTTTAAGCGATCTAAACATGTAGTTTGGTGTTGGGTTGACCTCTTTAAAGGCCTCGTTTACGGCATTCTCATCGGGGGTTTTTTTTTAATCCTTATTTCCTTTTCTGTGATTAGAAGCAAGCAAGTTCCTATTAATATGTTGAACCTGTCATTGTTAATATAATTTTATTATTTTTTAGGGAAAAGGTCTGGGACCTGCAAGCACAACGATCATTTCACACAGTCAGAAATCAGCAGAGTATATGAGCGCATGCTTTGTGAATTTGCTTGGTATGGTGGCCTGTTGGGTGCCAAAAACATTTTTTTTTAATGCTTGTTCTTGCAGATGGATGATATTATTGCTGATTAAAAAGTTTTGCAATGGCACCAGATCATGCTAATCTCTCTGGGGGAAAAGGTCTTGTATCTTTTAGCTGCTTTGGAAAGACATCGTCTTAGGTTTTGATCCAGCTGATCTTGAAATAATAAAGAGAGCTTGCGTTCATAAGGCATTTTGTTGTAAATGTTCAGTATATTTATTTGAAAGAGCTGACCTCAAGATTGTAACCCGGTGTAGTAACGTACATACTAAATGTTGTGGTTGCGCTTTTGTCTGGTTAAAGAGGCATTGTTATGTTGGCTGCTTTTTTCTTTTCTCTCTCCCCCCACTTTTTTTTTTTAAAAAAGCTTAATTTTAGGCCATTCCGGCATTGCCAGTAGCAGCATGTTGAACTGCCTGCAATATTATAGCTGGAATTTAGTTGACCTCTCTAAGTAGTTGGCAGTTTCTGCGTACTAAATATTTAGGGGCCATGTAAGTTGCTGAAAGCAACATAGTAACCTGGCAGAAACTGGTGCCAGCGAAAACAACATACAGGGTGGCTTTTTGCTATATTGGTCAAGAAGCCTTTTGCTCAGGTTCCAAAGCATGTTCCTCTTTCACAAAGTGTGAAAATTGTGTTTTTTAATATTGCACTGTTCTTGAAATATTTCTGTAAGTGGTCCTCTTTTCTTTTTTCTTTTCTTTTCTTTTTTCATCTTCCCTACCCTCATGCCCCCTTGGTCATAAGAAGCTGAAGTCAGTTGATTAAACACTAGCAAAATATTTTTTTTTAAACCACATTTAGAATGCTCCTCATACATTTTTAACATCTTAACTGGCAAGTGGCATTACTGAGCCTAATTGGAAAAGTTCTTGAAAGTGACAAGCACAGATAGACACAACGCAAAAGAGAGCGAGAGAGCAAGAAAAGAGAATTTGCGGCATAAAATCCATTCATTTCCACATGGTTCATGCAGAAACGTCATGAAACTAGCATTGCTTTGTAGTTAATGCCGAAATATTTCTCTCTGCTCCCACTGATAATTTGTAATGGGAAGACACTAGAATGAAAGGTAATCCAAAAACAGTTTTTTTAAAAAAAAAATCCTGGTACTGCTGAAAGTATTAATATTTTTCAAAAGCTAATAAAACAACATCAATTGGATAATGATCCAAGACCACTGTTGAAGGCCCAATCTACCAAGGAAGTCATATGTCTAAACATCTCTGAAATGAGTAGAAGCAGTGCCTGAGCACATCTGTGCAAGATATTGCTCCACATTCATTTCAATGAGCTAAGTCCAGAAGATGTTCCTGTTGCATTGATCCCATAGACTTCTGAGGACAGCAAGGCTATTCAGGACCGTAATACAATTTTGTGGGGCAAAGATCCAATTTAGATGTCCCATCAAATCTTCACTGACTGGAGGTGCTGATTTATGAGGTTGCACCTCTCTTTGGCTGTTTGGGTCAAATAAATGGCAACTTAATGATAGTTATCTTAGTTCAGTTGTGTACATTCTCAAAAAATGCTCTTCAAAATATAGGATTTCAGAATTATTTTCACTTTTGTCCTTGCTGACGGAAAATAAAATTTTTGGAGCATTTGTTTTGTCTGGGGGAAAAGTAATAATCTTCAGCTCAGTCGCCAGAAAAGAGAGACATATTTTTATAACAAACATACTTTTTTTTGTACATTATGTTCATTCTTAAATAATGTAAGTTCAATGTTGTCTTGTAGATATTAAAAGGAGAATATTGACTTTTGATTCAATAAATGTTTTCTTTCAGCTGCTGGCCTACCTATTTCTTTATGATAACCACTACCTTTGGTTGGAGGGATTGGAGCCTGCCGGCCTTCAAAACACTGTTTCATCTTTTCAGTTTTAGTGCTTTACTGGGAGGTAAAGTTGGGGACCATATGGAAGCAGCTTTGTAGACTCTCTTTTAGATCACTATTTAACAAAATGTTGAAGCCTGGAGCATTGCTGTGGAAGATTTCACCCACTTTTCTCAAATCAGATTCTGTAGAAATAATTATATATACACCCTGCCCATCTGGCTGGGTTTCTGGGCGGCGCCCAACAGAACACCAATAACAATAATAAAAAAAGCAACAACATCAAACATTAAAAACTTCCCTAAACAGGGCTGCCTTCAGATGTTTTCTAAAAGTCAGGTAGTTGTTTATTTCCTTGACATCTGATGGGAGGGCGTTCCACAGGGCAGGCGCCACTACCAAGAAGGCCCTACAGGAATGCGTCATATTTGAGACTGCCTAGATCAATGGCCAAGGAATTGCATTTTATTAGCAGATTATTAACTGCTACCCACCATGTTGATTCTGTTTCACGGGTATTAAAAGTTGGTATGTGGGTGCCATTCAAGGGGCTTATTTGGACTTATAACACCCTAACATCTGGAGAATTTAACATCACTACTTCAGATGTCTTCTAAAAGTCAGATAGTTGTTTATTTCCTTGACATCTGATGGGAGGGTGTTCCACAGGGCGGGCACCACTACTGAAAAGGCCCTCTGTCTGGTTTCCTGTAAATTCACTTCTCACAGTGAGGGAACTGCCAGAAGGCCCTCGGAGCTGGACCTCAGTGTCCGGGCTGAACGATGGGGGTGGAGATGCTCCTTCAGGTATACTAGGCCAAGGGTGTTTAGGGCTTTAAAGGTCAGCACCAACACTTTGAATTGATGCACACAGGTATCAACTGCAGCAGTCTTCCAAATGTCAGGTGAAGAACTCATAAATATGACCACCTCTGGTCAGGATGTGTCAAGTGCATCTCTCTTATTCCCAAGTAATCACAGCTAGGGATTTTGGATAAACCTAGCCTTCAACATTTCCCTTAATATGCTTCACAATTTCTAGTTTTTATACTAATAGAAAAGGCAGGTTAATAAGGACACCTCCACCACACTGGTGCTTTCTGTGGGTATATTCTGCAACATGTAATTGAGGCCAAAAGAGTGCATTAGTGGTAGATTCATTCTGGATCATCTGCACATCTTAGTCCTTCTGCAGAGCTTCCCAATGTAACTTCATTACTGCCTTCTGGAGCATTCCTCTTGCTCTATGGTGCAACAAAAGTTGGACAAAAAAGAAATAAAATCCAAACATTTATGGTATGAAAAATGTCAGGTTTTCAGCAGGAAGTTATTGGACATGAACCAGTTGGAAACGAAGCCGTATGTCCACCCTGAATCCTTTAAGAGCAGGTGCGAACAGTATTGAAAGAAAGATCACATATAATTGCCCCAGTACCATCACAAGCACAAATTGTCAAGAATGTACAATGAAAAGGATACCTAGAGGGGTGCCGAGAAGTGTCAAATGCAGTCAAAAGTGTTTCATTTATTCAGATGAAAAATTATCCTACTTATATTTAAACAAAACTCTGCAGATGATCTGACTCTGCTGCTTTTTTAGCTCTGCAGGTATAATAATAATAATAATAATAATTATTATTATTATTATTATTATTATTATTATTATTATTATTATTATTTATTTTTACGCCTTCTATCTGACTGGGTTTCCTCAGCCACTCTGAGCGGCTTCCAACAGAAGATTAAAAATACATTGAAACATCGGTCATTAAAATTTTTTTCTAAACAGGGCTGCCTTCAGATGTCTTCTAAAAGTCAGATAGTTGTTTATTTCCTTGACATCTGATGGGAGGGCATTCCACAGGGCGGGCGCCACTACCGAGAAGGCTCTCTGCCTGGTTCCCTGTAACCTCACTTCTTGCAGTGAGGGAACTGTCAGAAGGCCCTTGGAGCTGGACCTCAGTGTCCCGGCTGAATGATGGGGGTGGAGACACTCCTTCAGGTCTACTGGGCCGAGGCCATTTAGGTCAGTATAGGGATGGGGAACCCACATCTAAAGGACAGCATGGAAGAATCATACACCAATGGGAGCGTGTGAGTAGTTCCATATATTTATGTTAGTCTTTGAGTGTCATTGCTTATGTAGTCCAAATGGCTTCATGCCTGCCCAAGAGTGAGGTATCTACAGGCTCAGGGGAGGGAAATCTAAGGAGGGAAGGAGCCCCCCCCCAAAAAAAACCAACCCAATGCAGACAGAGCATGCTCAGTGGCCATGGGATGTTGACTGAGTGTTGGGGGTGGAGGGATGGAAAACTGGGTGGTGCTTGCAGCTGCTGTTGAAGTTGTAAAACAATGAACGGGGCAGAGCAATGGAGAATTTCTGAAACAACAATGGGATATTAGCTCTGCCCAAGGCATGATGGAGAACAGCAACGGCTGGGAAAAGATAGACGTAACATTTTGCAAGGACAGGAAGATACAACACGGACAGAATAATTGCCACACACAGGAGAAATAAGGATATAGTTTGAATGCTTCACCTATAGCCTTATAAATCATTTAATGTGTAAAGACAAATGGATGTTGTCAACATTGCAGTTGTCGTATAAGGGATTGTTATTTTGACTGGAATGTAATTGAGATGAATAAGATTTTGCAATGCAGAAACAAAGTAAACCATCAAACCATCAATTCTAGCACACGGGAGGCCACCTAAATTATACAATTTGGCATTTGAATGATTGGGATGAGTAATTGTATTATAATTGGGCATTGTTATAATGAGGCTAGCATTGGATTACTGTAATTGAAAACTAATAAAAATTATTGTAAAATTTTAAAAAAGGAAAACTGGGTGAGGGGAGTAAGAATAGAATCCTCTCAAGGGCCGTCAGGTCAACCCAAGGGTTACCAATAAATTAGCATGGATTCAGAGAAATGAACTCCTGTTGGGAAGATGGGTGGGATATAAATCTAATAAATAATACATAAATCAAATTGGTCCTCAAAATGTTGCAGAAGATGCTGATTAATGATGGGCACAACCCACCCCCCTTTTGATTCAATATGGGCTGCATCTTCCTTGGCTTTTCCCAAAGCTTGGGGATACCAACCCCAGGAGAACTTCTCCATCACAAGCAACCTTCTTACCAGTATCCCTGCTTTTAATGCTTAACTCATTATTTATATGGTCTTTATTATTTCTCTCTTCTATTTGATATGTCTCAGCTAAGCAGCTAGAATAAATAAAAAGTTTTAAAATAAACCAAAAAAAGAACCAAAACACAAGTAGTTTTTAAATTAAGATTTAATTTGGAATACTCGTTGATAATTCCATATCTTGTTGATATATTTAACACTGCGTAAAACACATTCTTGGCCTAGTTGCATGTGAAGACACCCAAAACCACCCCCCAAATGAAGACACAATAGACACAGATTTTAGTTTAAGGTTTTTGGCATTAAATTTTGGGCACAACTCTATTGATTGTGAGTGGTTGTTTAGGCAATGGTTCCAGAATACCTGAACCTGCACGGTGGCAGGAACAGGACTGACACTGGGCACTACCATCCACTGGGCAAGCATCCTGGGGGAGCGAGAACTCTTTCGATCTCACAGCTCACCCCAAATGCTCCCAGGGGCTCTGGCGTGGCCCTAGCCCCTTGACAGGGATCGGACAAAAGCAAGGCAAGCCCCTGGATTCCTTTAACGGAATTCCCTAGCAGCAGCAATGGAGGGGCAAGCACAGCCAACCACGTCCCCTCCCCAAAACATTGAACCAAATGTCTAACCGCCAACCTTACAAAGTTGTGACGATTTGCTACATGGTAGGCAAAAACCAAGTGGCAACAGCCAATCAGCCAAATGGCAAAATTCCTACCGAGCCCCTGCTCCAAAATAGAGACCCCTAGACCAGTGTTTCCCAACCTTGTGCCTCCAGCTGTTTTTGAACTACAACTCCCATCATCCCTGACTAGCAAGACCAGTGGCAAGGGATGATGGGAATTGTAGTCCAAAAACAGCTGGAGGCACAAGGTTGGGAAACACTGCCCTAGACAGACATTGTTGTTGTTTAGTGATTTAGTCGTGTCCGACTCTTCATGACCCCATGGACCAGAGCACGCCAGGCACTCCTGTCTTCCACTGCCTCCCGCAGTTTGGTCAAACTCATGCTGGTAGCTTTGAGAACACTGTCCAACCATCTCATCCTCTGTCGTCCCCTTCTCCTTGTGCCCTCCATCTTTCCCAACATCAGAGTCTTTTCCAGGGAGTCTTCTCTTCTCATGAGGTGGCCAAAGTGTTGGAGCCTCAGCTTCAGGATCTGTCCTTCCAGTGAGCACTCAGGGCTGATTTCCTTCAGAATGGAGAGGTTTGATCTTCTTGCAGTCCGTGGGACTCTTAAGAGTCTCCTCCAGCACCATAATTCAAAAGCATCAATTCTTCGGCAATCAGCCTTCAAGGCCATAAGAACAACCCTAAATACAGGGAGAGTAGGGCGGGTGATCCGCTGATTGTCACAAGAATTGAAACTCTCCAACGATGTGCAGCAGCTTAAGTAGCCCCTCAGCAGCCAATAGCCAACAGAGGGGCAACCAATGAGGTATTGTGGCCATCCAAATGGTCCCGCCTCACAACAGGGAGGCAGTTTCTTGTGATCTCACTGCAACATGTGCCCTCCGTGATGGAGGACCTGACTTATGTAATGGAATGTGTAATTCATCTCTATCTCTGTAAGCTTCTTGGCATTTTTCCCCTCTCCCCCTTTCCTCCCATTTTTTTGTTTGTTTGAAAAGTCTCCCGACTTAACCTGACAGTTTCAATCTCTTGCCTCACCATCTGCTGACATTCAAACATTTGTCTTCTATTGTACTTTGCACAAGTGTCAAACTTGGGAGGTGAGCATTCCTAATTCAAACAAAAATGTGCTCCAAGAACTTAAACTTGTTAAA